AAATATGAGTCTGGCTGATAATAAATCACAACAAACAAATTGGCATGTTAGTAATATGGAAAAATCCACACAGTCTGTTTTTTGCACCAAAGAAAACAATTTGAAGAAATCTGTGAAAATTGTCTTTTGGCACTTGCTGGTGTTATATTTCAGCTCGTTTGTCTTACATGATTGGAAAAAAAACACACAAGAACACTCTCTCAAAAACCGAGGCCAGAGGCAGGAGGGACAGCCTACACAGTCTGCTCAAATCAAAGATTTGAGCATGTTGGTAATATGGGAAAAAACCACACAGAGATGTTAGCTCTTTATACAGTAAAGTTACAGTGGGATACAAACAATATCAGGCTGACTCTGCCACGATTTGTTCCCCCTGTCTAAATCACGGATTAACAGTATCTCACAGTTGTTTATGTTTTTCAACCCATTTTGCACAGGGAGGCATTTTTTGAAAAATGTATTGATAGCAATGTTGAATATTATTACACAGGAAAAAAACAACTACACGTAAAATAATCTCATCGTGACGCCTCTGCCTTTGTAAATAGAGGGACAGTAACTGTGTGTGTGTATAAGCCTGTAAAAACCAAAGACAGTCAGATTAACAGTATTTTGTCTCTATCTGCCATTCTGAAATTCATCGCATGTAAACAATAAGGTGCGCACAGCGTGGCGTGAAAAAAGGCACATACCTTTGACATTGTGTGACGAACTCTGTATTCCTCGTCCACAGGTAAACGCAAAAAAGGAGTTTTAAAAAATCTCAGTTTTCGGTGCTTCGAAACGCTGTTTACGTGCGGACGAAACAGCTGCGTTGTCAAAAATACTCGTGTAGGTGTGGATGTAGCATAAAAGAGTTAGTAGTTTATTTTATTACTACCTGTAATTTATTGCAGATTACTTGCATTTGCTTAATTGTTTACTAAATGTTTGAGGTGTGAAATAAACCGAAATGGAGCAAAATAAGGGTGTGTGTGGTTGGAGGATGTGTTTGTGCATGTGCGCGTGAACGCGCGGGAGGGGGGGCAACATTTTTCTTTTAAAACAAAGGGGGCCCAGAAAAAAAAGTTTGGGAACAACTGCTCTAGCTTCACATGTGTCAGAACAGAATCGGCAGTTACCAGAGTTTGATCCCCGGAGAGTGTGTCACCAAGTAGAGAAAAAGACTATGCTTCCTCCTCACCGTCACCCAGCCGTCCTCTTTCCCCAGCTAGCGGGGCATACGCTACCTTCAGCTCCACCAGCTACAGAGACCTGGTTAGCTAAGGGTGTATCAAGGGTGTGAAGCCGAGTCTCCAATTGAGTAATCCTGGCCTCCAGGGGCCTGTGCTTCGTACGTCGCTCACTACATCCAAGATCAAATGACACATCCAAGACCAAACCATCGCGCTAACCGTGAGCTCGCTAATCCGGTTCCCCGAACACACCTGCTGTTGACGATTAGTACAGCTGGACGCAGTAATGTGACATCACTGGGTGTCGTAAAAGGG